CTTTGAGGAATCATTTGCCACTCATGAGTGAATCTCAATTTGAAAAATATTTCACCATTTGGAGTGTAGCGCAAAGCTCGTATATCGGTTACTTTTGCATCACCTTTACCACGACCAGGGCGAATACTTTTATAAAACTGAACTTCATCAAATGTCTTGAAAAATTTGAAGTTTAAGTACGTTACGTCGTAAGGTTTTGGTTTCTTTCGAGCAACTTTGCAAATTCCTATATACTCCGCAGGAACATTAATAGTTTTATGTTTGAGAGACCGCTCAATTGTGGCGTGAATAGAATCAGCTTCCATTTGTGTGTGCCCGACTTCGAGAAACTTTTGTTCAATTATTATATTATGATTCATTGCTGTGCACAACAAAGCATTGGACAACGCACAGTTTCTATTTTGATATGTGCACCCATCACTATAAAAAATTACTTTTTGTTGCCTGGTTGGCCCTGTTTCTGCTGGTGTGATTTGAGGAAGAATCTTTTTTTCAAGTAAATCAACCCATACACTGGCAAAGTCTTCCGAGGTTAATCCATCTTCGGTCTCGTTCCACAAATAACAGAATCCGTCTTTGTTCTCCAAATTAAAAAACGTAAGATTATGTATTTGGAGTTTTGTTCTGTAATATAGGCTACTGATGTTTGACTTAGGTGCCATCAGTAAAGATTGTAAATCAACTGTAAAAACGAAGCTTTCTTCATTTTTATCTTTATTCTTTTCAGCTCTTGCTTCTTCTTTCTTCATTTGATGCTCTGTATAAGTGTCTTGAGATAGATTGCCAACTTTAAATAAAGCGCATTTTTCACACTGATCTTTTTTAGGAAAGAACAGACCAAGGTTTTTGCAATTAAAAACTTCATAAAAAACTGCAATAGACAGAGGTTGAACGTTTTGCGATTTACACCAATCGCCTTTGTAAAATTCGTAAAGAGCTTGTTTCGTTGTCCACTCTGGCAATAAATATTTCTTCGTGGTTTGAGAACGACAATAATGTGATTCCATGGCGGGCAAAGTATCAAAAAAATTTTCAAGCTCTTGACGTTCTTTAACAAAAGGTTTAGAAGTAGATTCTGCGATGATATTAGAGTCATTACTATCTTTGATAGGATTTATTTGTTTGTTTTTCCACTTCTGTACAGTCCATCTGCCAATTACAAGAGTATTTAGAAACATAGTCCTGCAGACTTTAAGAAGCTGATCCTGTTTTTTCAAGTGGTAAATCAAAGACTGTCTTCTCCTAGAATCTTTCTCTTCTTTTCTTCCTCGTGGTCGCTTAATAAGTAAAGATGTCACGAGAACATCAACGTAAACCTTTTTTTCACTCCAACTCATATTCCAAAAACTTTGAAAAATACTCATTCTATCTTCTTCGGTAAAATTTGAACACTGTAGTGATCCATTTGCAGTTTTCTCACATTTACATCTCATTTTTAAGGTTCTTGCTTGTTTTTGAACTTCATAATCCCATGTTTCTTCTTTCTTTTTTCCGTAATATTTTTTTCCAGTTTCTCTTAGCTTCCTATTTTTCTCAGCAAACCAGTCAGATTTTTGAACTTGTTCCCTTTTTTTCTCTTATTACTTTTCTTCGGATATTCATAATCAGACTCAGTGTCCGAATGAAAACCATACGGAACTAATCCACCTCGATCACTTTCATCTGATATCGGGTCTTCTATTGCATCAATTACGTTATTATTGTCCATTATCCCATTTGCATATGTAATAAAATCCAAGCCCTCACAGCACCGGGATATTCAGGATATCCCAGAGACGTCCTGGGGATATCGATTTGTTTTCGGAAGTTTGGATATCCCTGGATTATCCTCTGGATATCCATGGACGTCCCTAGGATATCCCAGAGATATCCAAACTTCCGAAAACAAATCGATATCCCCAGGACGTCTCTGGGATATCCTGAATATCCCGGTGCTGTGAGGGAAGTACTATATTTTTCGACGATAGCAGAATGAATTTCGATAGAAAAATATTCTCAATAAGCCATCTGTAATTAATAATAATTTTAATTAATTTAAAAAATAAATTTAAAAAAAAATATTTTTAAGCTATCTGTAACATTACAATATATAATTATTAAATATAAATACATAGATTATTCATTATTAATAAAACATACATACAAGATGTTAATTAATTATTATTTATTAAACATTTTTAACTAAAACTAATTATTTTGTAACTGGAACTCTTTAAGTGAGCTAAAATCTGCAGATAAATCTTCGTTGTTGTTAAAAATCTATTTTATTTTTAGGTTATGTCAAATAATTATTTTTATTATTATTTTTTATAAATTTTATACAGTTGGTTGTTTAACTGTAATCTCGTATTTCTAATGAAAATAAAAATATTCCAAAAGTCATTATTTACATTTTCGTGTGTTGTTTGAATATTAAAAGTTACTATATATTAATTTTAATAATTTATTGAATTAGTAGAAAAAGTTTAATAAAATACAGTTAAAAGTTTATAAAAGGTAAAGTTAAAATAAGAAACTACTAAATTTTTTGAGAAAAAACATATTATTTGTCTGTAGAAATACTCTATCATTGAGCATTTTTAGGTTATATTCTTTCAGAATAAAACTTTCAGTATATATGTGTGTTTTATTAATAGAATAACGCGCTGCTACTTATTAATAACAAATATTTACTTCAAAAATATATTTTAATTGATATCTCATTCACTTAAAACAACAGAAATATTTCAATACAATTATTAAGAAACGTATCGCAAAACTGCACTAGCAGAAAAGATAGTTTACAAAGTGACATATATATTACGTGGAGTTAGCAGTGCTGTTTCACAGGTATGGAGTTAGCTGTTTTGCTCACAACACTTTTTTAGCAATTTACAGACATAATTTCGTTAAACTGTTTTTCTTAGCTGATGTATCGCCTTCTTATCTATCAAATCCAAAAAAAATCTCAAAATCGATAAAAAGTGGAGTTAGCAGGTTTGCACTCTAAACCGTCGTTATGTGAATGTATGGAATCGTTTCTATTAAAATTCTTGTCGTTTCTTCATTAATTAAATCAAACAAGAGAAATAATTATTGAAAGTATTCCCAAGCTATTGGACGCAAGTCTAGGCTTAAAATAAATAAAATATAATTAAATTTAATTAAAATTTAATATTTAATTAAATTTAATAAAAGTATCATTGCGAACCATAATTTTGGGACGTAACACAGCTAAGGAATTTTGCCCCATATGTTCGTAATATGTGGTTACGTTTTATTTTTTTACTCCGAATCCCTTTGAGATCCCAAGATGAAACTTACAGGACATGTAAAGCACATTTGCCCTAACATTTAGTAAAATTTTTAAAAAAATCGAAGATTATGTTTTTTCAAAAACAAATTTTTAATTTTTCAAAATTTCAAAAAAGAAAAATTTTGAATTTTTTTTTATATTAATTTTAACTTAAAATATACTTAAGACAAAAGAAATCCTTTTTTTAAAATCCAAAATCGGTTAATTAGAATCAAAGTTGTAGCACTTTTAAAAAAAGAAGACAAAAATTTTGAAAATGCAATATTTTTGGTAATTTTCAAAATTTTAAAAAAAATATTTTGGTGGAGTTGTTTATCACTATAAAAATAATAAATTTACAAAAGTACTGAACTGAAGTGGACCCTTCTTTTCACCTTTATAAACCCCTTTTATTTCATCTCTTAAAGAAAAAAATTGTAAAACAGGAAATAAATTATTTTTATTTTTTTGTGCTTTCAATATAATAGCTCTATTGATATAGATATATTATTTTCTATTTTCTTAGCAAAGGTAGAGAGTTTTATCATTTATTACTTTTTTGGTAAAGATTTTTCACTTCTAGGGATGAAATAGGGGTGGTATATTTTTAATAAGGTTGTTTTTTGCTTAAATTGTGGGATTTATAATTGCAAATAGTACATACACTACCGTCGGAAATTGTGGGACATCACAATAACAGTGATAATTCTGTCGAAAATGAAGCTAGATTGTTCTTTTTAAATTGCATTGGAAAGCTTATTAAATTTCTAATGAAATGGCGCTATTTTAATTTGTATTGCATAAATAGGAAACAAGATATCATGTTATAAACGCAAAAAAATATTTTATTTTTTTGGAATTTCTTACCCTGACTTTGACTTCTGGCAAAATTTAGAAAAATTGATGAAAAAAATTTTTAATTTTACAGACTGCTCCTTGTAATCTAAACTTTAAATAGAGACCACGAACTGCAAACAAATATCAACCCTTATTGGGATCCACTTTTAAAATTAATTCATTATATAATTATATTTAAAAAGTGGATCTCAGTAAATGTTTACTTGATAAAATTAATTTTCGACCCTGCATTTCACAGCCACGCAACTGACTCATCGGCGAATTAAAGGAATCGATTATTGAAAATTTTGCTTCGCACGGTACTAGTTTTTTTCGGGAACCCGTTAATATTTTTTGCTGTTCTTGGTCTCTATGGAAAGCTTAGATCACAAGGAATAGTCTGTAGAAGTAGCAATTTTTGTCATCAACTTTTCTAAATTTTGCCAGAAGTCAAAGTCAGGGTAAGCCATTTACGAATGACTCTGTTTAGATACAAGAATAAAGAAAGGGACGATTTAACCCTTTTCCCTACATGTTCCCTGTTGGGTCAAAAAATCGACTATTCTTATCATTGTCCTGTCATGAAGTAGTAAAGTAGCGTAATAAAGAAAAAAAATTTTCCCAAAAGCGATAAAGGAGAAAGCATCGCGCCTCATTAGGCGTCTTACCGCGAGTGGAGCGAGCTATTTGCACACAACAATCCACGGAGCGCGATAACTACTTCTCACGCTCCCGAGGCGCGTTGAAACCTGCGAGCCCCCGCGCAAAGCGCGAAAGTGTAAGTGTTCGACTGTATGGGCGGGCAGATTTTTTATATTAGGTAAATTGACTTTTTTATTTACAGTTAATAAGCAATAAATAAAGATAATTGTTTCAACATATTACTCACCAATGTCGCCTTCACATATAACTAAAGTATTTGATGCTATTTGCTTAGGGTACATTGCAGAGACAAGAGCTTCAATCTGCTTTTCTTCGAGATTGCCCAAAAATTCGTTTTCCAATATTGCTGTTTTGACTTGCATTTTTGACCTTTGATTAAATTTTAGAAAAGTATTAATAGAAATAATAAAGTATATTCTTACAAAATTAAGAATTAAAATACATATAGGGAGACTGGGGTAAACCCGCTCACTATCGATTTTACGCTATGAACTCAACTTAAGATGGAGATATTGGTACTGTGAATAGTACTTAACATTCAACTTATATTAACGAACTTTCGATTAGTTTCATGAATTCAACATAGAATCAGAGGCGATTAAATGTTTTTAGAGGTGTCACAAAAAAATCGTTTTTTCGATTTTTAAGTTTTTCGATAATTATTTTTGAGTCTTAATTTATCTGGAAAATTTTTTTTGTTGCTATTGGATGTCCTTCTTCGAAGTACATATATAGTTTTGTCTTACTTCAAAAAGATTTAATTAAATTTATTCTGAAATGTGAGGAATACACTCGGGGTAAAGTCGCTTACGTGAAGTCGGGGTAAAGCCGCTCACTTAATTTTAAATTAAAACAATTTGTTGTTTATAGAATTGTTTATAGAATTCATAGTTTATTAATAATAAATCATACTTAAGACGGAAATAAGACGAATTTTAATATTAAAAACATAAAACTGTTTCGTCTTGAAAAGATAAAGTGAGCGGATTCACCATGGAAAACAATCTTGACAGATTAGGGATTTTCTCCCTATTTGTAGGGATTTTTTGGTTGCATAGGGACAATTATAGGGGAAAAAATCCATAGGGATTTTTGCAGGGAGACAAAATAATTTAATCACAACAGAAACATCTTTGACGTTATAATATAATATAAGTAAAAAATAATAGTTATAATAATCTGATGAAAAAAATCTGTAGTATTCTACTTTGTAATTTACATATTATGAACACAATTAGTGCAATAATCTTACATAATTGTTATATGTTCTTAAATTAAGGTTTTATTTTGTCTCAAATGACTAGGAGTGGGCGCGCGACGTGCGCCGTTTGGTTCTAGTAAATAAACAATTTCATTAACTGAAGATGCCACCTGTGCAAAGTAAACATTCTACTCAACGATATGTCAAGCAAAGCATAGGAAAATGAAGACATTTTTAAAGGTTATAATTCACTTTCTATTTACATAAATAAAGTAGTAAAAATAAATGTAAATTCTATTTCCAATATTCACAAACCAATTCAATAATAAAGTACAATTTATAGAAAATTTGTCGATATTTTTTTAAGTATTTGAAAATATTGTTTTGAAATTAAAATTGAACTATAACTTTGCGTTCAAAGAATAATCACCTCAAAGCATGATACATCGGTTGGGATACAGTTTTTCTAATATTTTATTGTCTAAAAATTTTTTTTCTAAGAAAAGTGAATTTCAAAAAAACTTTTTTCTAATAAAGGTGATTTTCTAATTTTTTTTTCTAATAAAAGTCATTTTAAAAAAATTTCTTTTACTAATAAAGTGTTACGGTCTAATTTATAAAATAGACACAGTTTACTTTTTATCACTTCTGAGAGTGACAATTTATTATAATACTCAATATTACACTTTAAGGGCAGGAACAAGACTGAGTTGCAAATACGTTTTGCAGCTCATGTTGGATATGAAACAATTCAGGTGGAGATATATTTTTTTGCTGACTATAACATCCCTCTCGCTAGATAGGATTTAGTCCCTAAAACCTAAGTTTTACATTTTTATTTAAATAAGGTTTAATATGTACTTCAAATTTCTATGTGGTTGTCTTTCGTAGAATATAACGACGTCAACATTACTCATTTTATTGTTACACATATTAGTCCTAATTTTTCTACTCAAAGATTTACATATTGTTTTAAACAATTAATTTAAATTTGTGATTGTTAACTTCATTTATGTCGAGTGGTAAATCGTAGTTTACATTTTGTGTTTACTGTATTTAATTCAGGTGTATAGTTGAGAGATACAGTTTTGGTTTTTTCTAACAGTGAATTACATTTAAAATCTTGTGATAACCTAGTGTGTATGATGTAATAGTATTATTTGTTGTCGCAAATGGTGTCTTGTCGTATTATTTCTCTGTAGCTTTAGTTAACCATTTTTTGTGCTTCTTTTTCCATTGATAAATTAATTTTGGGTACTTCAGAATTGGTGAAATCATTTTTCTATCTATAAATTCTTTAACTCGATTTTCAAAATATTTTAACCTGTTTTCTTTTTTGAATGGGGGTAAATCTTTTGTTAGTCTTGTTTTGCATAATTTTTCTTGAACGTTAGGTTTTATTGTAACATTTCCAGTTTCTTTGTTCTTTTTCCATTCTTCAAAATTTTGTGTTAAAACATCTGTTTCGTCATAATGTTCGGTTATAATATCATTTTTATTATCGCTTGTTTGTGGAATGTCATCAAACCTCTGTATATCGGGTGACATGTCTTCTTCTTCTTGTGTTGAATTAAGTTCATTGTCTTCTGATCTTTCTGCTGATGTGGCTTTTTCGCTGTCCTCGTCTTGTATTGGACATAATCTTGATAGGCAGTCAGCTGCTTCATTTTCTTTTCCTTTAACATATTCTATATCATAGTCGAACTCTTCTAAGCGTAATCTCCATCTTAATAATTTTGAACTAGGATCTCTTAAATTATGTAACCAAATTAATGCTTTATGATATGTCTGAATAGTAAAGGTCCGTCCCAATAAATATTGTCTTAGTCTTTTTGTAGCCCACAAGATTGCTAATAATTCCTTTTCTGCTGTATTGTAATTTTGTTCTGCATAATTTAATAGTCTTGAAATATAGCAACAAGGATGTCCATCTTGATAAAGTACAGCTCCTATTCCTACATTACTGGCGTCTGTTGTCAAAACAAATCTTTTACTAAAATCTGGATATTTTAATACTGGTGATTTACACAGCAAATCTTTTAATAACACAGCCCCACAAAAAAAAAAGTACACTGCGCGAAAGTCCACAGTACCATACCCCTATGTATTTTGATGCGCTGAACACGAATTCGAAGTCAGATTTGCTCCATCACGTCAGGATTTTTTTCTAACCTCAAAAAACTATTTAGATTTTATGTAATTTATGTAAATTACAAAATTTTTTAAAAATTGATTTGATTTGTCTCATACTTGTTTTTCGGGGGTTTTTAAGATTGCTGATTACGAATCTGCAGTCAGTTTTTAAAAATTCTAAATGGCGGATCCAATATGGCGGCCAAATTTTAAAAATTTGTTGGATTTTCACTTTACTTGTTATATAGGGGTTTTCGGGGTCGCTGATTACAGATTTGCAGTCAGATTTTAAAAAAACAATATGGCGGATACAATATGACGGTCATTTTTTTGAAAATTGATTTATTTTCCTTTAAAATGGGTACTCTGGTTTTCCGGATCACTGATAACAAATCTTCAATTAGATTTTGAAAAATCAAGATGTCCGTTTGAAAATAATGTAATTTTTATTTATGTCTGCTTATGGTAACGAAATCGTTTGTCTTCGAAAGACCTGTGCAGTGGTTTTCTTTTTAAGTTTACTCTTCCTGGAACAATATCCCTTTTTAGCATCCAACAATAGTCAGCCATCATATTTACGTTCCATCTGCCTTGATATCTGCTCTCCATTTCATTAATATCTTTATGAAACCGTTCTCCCTGTTCCTCGCTGTAGTCTCCTAAACTTTTCGGAAAGTAACTTAGATGTGAATGTAGGAAATGGAGCTTCAAACTCATCAAGCATCCCAATTTTTGAAAGTTTTTGATCATACCATTCACTATTAGTTCCCAATTCTCGCTTTTATGGTTGCCAAGAAAGTTTTCAATAACTCCCTTAAAACTAAGCCATGCATGCAGCTTTCTCCTTTTTACTCATTACTGTGATAAATTTTTCATCTTTTACTAGTTTGCGAATTTGCGGCCCAACAAAAATTCCTTCCTTTAATTTAGCATCAGATAACTCTGGAAATTTTTGTTCTAGGTACTTGGAACTAATTTGACAGTTTCATAATCTTCTTTAAGTTCAGTGAAATGGGCTACGGGAATTGAAGCAAAAACATTAGTTTTATGAATTAGCACTGCCTTTAGACTTCTTTTAGAAGAGTCAATGAATAACCTCCAATGTTGATCTTCATATACGTTTGGTTTCAATTCATTTATACTAATAAAATAATAATAATTATAATAATAATAATAATAATAATAATAATAATAATAATAATAATATTATTATACTTCAATGTCAGAACAATATACTAATAAAAGGTTATCGTCTTTTGTAAAATATTTCCGAAATTCCCTTTCTCTGTCACGATAAAAGTAAGCTGTGGTGCCTTTAGATAACAAATTTTTCTTTTTTAAAACTGAAGCTAGATATTCTGCTCCATCTTTGGGTAATTTCAAATCTCTGATGAGGTTGCTAAGCTCTTCTTGCGTAAAGCCTTCTTTAACCTTTTCTTCCTGATAACCATCTAAAATATAAATATCATCATTGTCTTCTACATATTACTAATCTCATCACTTATATGGGAAAGTACATACTCTAATGGTGAACTGTCGATTTTCATATTTGCAGAAGAAAGAGTTAAATGACTTATAATTTCGGGTTTTGTCACAGATACTACACATGCGTAAATTATTTTCTTTTTATTATTTTTATTATATCCCTTTACATTAGTCATGCAAAAGTAGCAATCTTCTCGATTTAATGGTTTTTTCCACAATGTTGGTTTTTTAAACTTCAGGTGTTTATCCTCTTTCGTATCATTCCAACGAGTTAACATTGTGTAGCAGGAACTGCAGATTGTATGTGGAACCCATTTTTCATTCTGATTGACTATCTCAAAATCAAAACAATCTTTATAAATTTGTTTAATGTTTTCAATAATTAATTTGCGATTTTTCGGGATATCAAATTGTCCGCATACGTAACAAAATACATCTGCATTGCTGTCACATGTATGTTGTAAGGTTGACACTCCAAAAAGAACTTTTCAAGCGTTTGAAGTTTTTTTATTGTTTTGATTTTTGAAAGCCATGATATTTAGGAAAA